AATAAATCTAATTCAAAATGAAATATAGAAATTACTTTAATACAATTAATCATAATAAATGAGGCTAAATCTAGCATATAGTTGATATGATTAGAAGGAATTTGTTTAAAAATATTAGACAATTCATACAGCTTACAATAACAATTAAACAATAATACCATTGTAACTATACTAAACATATGAAAGAAGTTCTTTTTCATAAACATATTATTCATTGATAATATTAAAAATATATAGCATTCTATGAATACTTGATTAAACTGTATAGAAACTCTTTGATTTGTTTACAGTTGACTGCCTTATCAGTGTTGCTAATCATAAATTGAGTACGACTAATCAACTAAGCATACAATTATTATTATATGATGTTAGTCTGTACGGAGTTTCATCTATTTTAATCGTTCATTGTACGAATAAAAATTACTTGAAGAGGTTAAATATACAACGTAATATATAATAAACTTGTAATTTAAGAAGATTCAACTCTGTCTGTCTTCTTTTTGATGGTGTTACGTTCTTTCATTTGAATATCGTAATTATAGATCGGTCATTGACCTTTTGGGCAACATCATCAAACCAAAATCAAGAAAAAATTCATGTTCTGAGAAATAATTTTAAGAGCATTAAATTAATTTTTCAGACGATTTCATTTGCATCTGGTTGTCTATGTACGTTGTATCATTTATGACTTTTGTGGTCAGATTGACTATTTTGTTTGGTTGAGTTAAAGCCGTGTGATTGATTGGTCTTTGTTTTACCAGATAACTAAATAATTTAGTTTGAATAACGTGACATCGCTCAAAGAAGTTGCTTTAGATCTAAGACTCCTTCATCTTAAAATGAGTTAATGAATTAAGGCACGAGAATAAAAATTACTTTGTGAGGTCAGTTTGCCATATAACATGACGAAACTGCTATATATTGAAGGTTTTAACGTTGACAAAGGCTTTATAAAATGCTGAGAGAAATCTGAGCAAATAATGTATATCTTGTAATAACAACTCTAATGTGAACGAAAGGAAAACTAGTAGAAAAAATAGCAGACCTGGCAAATTCAGCTGATCAACAATATTTTTGTAAACGATATTATGCAATCTACCCCATTTTTTCAGTTGGTCTATGTGATCTTAGTGCTTTTAGTTAGTACTAAAAATCGCTAAAAAAGGATGACCATCATACGATACTGATGAAGTGGATAATACGTAAATGTTCCATGTGGGTTTTTAGTTCAAACATTCATGCAAATATTACTAAGAGGTGCGTAAGTCTAGATGATAATTTTCATATGAAATATGATACCAACACCGAATTCCACCATTAGCCAAAACCAAATTTCTTCAACTACAGAAACAGAATTATATAACCAAAAGTATTGATTTCTCCTGGTAAATTACCGATATTTAAACTACGATATCCTTGATTAAATGAAAGCGCTTGTTTGAACGATTAGGTCAATGAATCATAAAACAATTCATCATACGTGTACTTGGCAGCCACAATTTTGCAAATAAAAGCGACTGCAAAGGTAGATACTTAAAACGATGAGAACCCAACAGAGTGTTTATTAGAGCAAAAGACAACGAATATGACTGCCAAACTTATTCAGTGTAACCTATCGATATAGAGAAATCTCAATGTTACCAAATAAAATATTGATAAATATGTCAAATTTTTACCCAAAAGACAGACGTACGGAAAATAAGTTTTCTCTCCCTAAGAAAGAAATCTTAACAATTATCAGGTCCTAAAATAGTATCTTCCTTAGGCCTCATATTGGTCAAGATAGATAAATTTACTGCTTTTATAAGGTTCTGCTTACAGGTTTACTTCAGAGTTGTCTTTGTGTTCATGATAAAGATACTTGAATTTCGCCAGCACTTGTTCTGACATAACGATACTAATTTTATCATAACCGTGCAAACGATTGTTTAGTTGAGATAGATTTGCATACTGACACCCTATATTAGAACCTATTGCTTCAAATAAATGAGTGAGCATGGTGGTTCAAGCTAAAATACCTATCATACCTAATATTGAGACACAGAATTAGATGAGTTCATTCGTATGAAAAATTTGCCGAATAACAGGGTTGACGTTTTCATTTCACATTTAACCATTATTATCACGTTTTGTAATTGAAACTTCTGGCTAAATTTTGAAACGCAAACCAATACTGACTGGCCGATGACTCATGAACAATTTCATTTCATACAGTTTTTAATGCTGACTACTATTAAGTAATTTAGTAACGAAGCATTCAGGTAAATGCTCACATGTGAGTCAGGATGGAAGTAGTCCAAACACACACGTCTATGGCTATAACTTTTGTTTAAAAAATTCAGGATAAACCGATTTTATCAATATCCCAGATGGATTTTGCTGGTCTTTATAAGTTAGTGCTAAACCTTGATCCAAAGCATCTTCTTGGCTGCCTTTGAAATATCAAGAAGCATGCAGGGTCTTTAGGTCTTTCAATCAAATGTATTAAGTTCACAAATTCACAGCTTATATGAATTAGAGTTTAGTTTTATAAAAAATATCATTCTCTAATAACCTTACTTCGACCTCATCAGAATATCTGTTATTTGAGTGATTTTTGGTATCGCATTTAGATATCAATAAAATTTAATACGTGACACCATATCTCAAACGTTTGCCAACATTTTTAAAAGCTTACGCACATTTTGTCTTGACTTTAAAGTAAGTGGAAATAAAATTACTCCCACAGTTTAGAATGTGAATTATGGCAGAAGAATCTTCCGCTAGCAGATTCTTATCATGTTTATTATGACATGCAAATATTAGTTCTGCATGAAGTTGTAGTGCCACTGTTCTCCAGATGTCACTTTCGCTTTATTAATCGGGTTCTGGAACATTTCGTTCGGCGTTTCACTTAGTGTAGCCAAATTACATCTATAGATAATCAAAATTCTTTAAAGTTGCCATTACATTCGAGACTGAAGTTTATAATCTTCGCCCAGGGTCGTTTTGCAATATCTCGTTGCTCATACTTATGACATATCTCGATGAAAACCGGATATTTTTGGAAAGTCAGCATGATATTAGAATAAATTATTCTTGTCTCACTAACTTATTAGTGGTTCCTAAAAGCTGATAGGCTCTTAAGGATCAAAATTTACCTGTAGACGTAGCCTGCATTGACTTCAGCAAAGCTTTTGACAAAGGTCCGCACAACCGGCTATCATATAAGCCAAGAAATGTCGGAATTGGAGGCAATCTATTGGTGTGGATAAAACACTTCCTAGTTGGGCGCCAACAAAGAGTACGTGTGAACTCAAGGTTATTTAGCTGGGAAACTGTGCTTAGCGGAGTGCCCCAGGGTACAGTTTTGGAGCCAGCGCTATTCCTTTTCGTCTCCTATCATCATCAGTCTTGCTATATGCTGACAATATCAAGATACGAAGAGCAATATGAAGTAAAGGTGGTAGTTTAAAGCTACAAAATGACCTGAAGAACTTATCTGGATGGTCTCAAACTTGGAAGTTGTCGATAAATACTTCCAAGTGTGTTGTGATGCATATCAGTTATCAAGGTACAGATACATACACGATGAACAGCACTGAGCTACCTGTCGTCCAGACACATAATGATTTGGAAGTCATCGTTAACCAAGACTTGAAGACTACTGCACACTGCCGTGCAATAGCCGCCAAAGGTTTTAGAACTTTACGTAGGGTCTTTAGTCATGTCGACGCTAAAACGTTATTGAGTTTGTATTCAGTGTTAGTGTGTTCTAAACTTGAGTACTGCATACAAGCGGCTAGCCCCTGCTTAAAAAAGACTGTGAGCGTTTGAAAAACGTTCAAAGAACAGCAACTTAGATGATCCCCAGAGTAGCCTTCCAAAAAAGAGAATTTACGGGGATACTCCAAATATTTTCACCAGCCTAGAACAAATTACTTGTCAGCTGACTATCGACATTCTCATCGAATCATCGAGTGGAATTCATTACCTCAGTAAGTGGTTGACGCTCCATCCGTCGACTCATTCAAAAGAAATTTGGATCAACTAGGAGACTATCATTGCCAAGACTAACACAGGCCATCAAACCTCCTGTCCTTTCCAAAATGAAACTGAAATGATGTACATCATATAATTCAGAAAACTACTAATTAAATTATATAACTTTCAGAGTTGGCTGATTCTAATTCATCCAAAAAACTATGTGGTTCAAGTCACATCTGCAACTTTCAATGTTAAGGTTATTACATATTTCAAGACAGCAACTAGAGGCATATAAAACACTAGTTGGTACATAATTCTAGGGTTTTCTTTCAGTGGGCGAATAAATGAATGTAGTTAAATGGACAATCATTAAAATAGCAAAACTTCCAGAACATTTGCGTGCACGAATGCCTACCAGACAGAAATAATGAACAAATTTCGCTAATAAGATCAAAGTGTTTTGAATTGACTTTCCTAAAATGAACTCCGGGGAAACTAATGAGGTCATATTAAATTTAATCCCTGTAAAGAATGTGAAGTAATCTGTTCATTTTATATTCGCCATACGTCAAGATAGCCTTCTGAGAATCATTCATCACCTCAAATCCCGTTTCTTGTATCAAACAACAAAGTTCCGGGTGGACACTAATTATTCATGATGTTTAGTTATAGATCATTTTGTTCAACAACTCGAGAAATATATCGATAATTTGTTCTCCTGTGGATCACATATACATACATATATCACTTCATAAAAAAAACTAGAAACAAAAAGCATAACTCTGAAAATCTCTGAAAAGTAAAAATTCATCTTAGATTATTTTATTCTCAGTCCCAACCAAAACATTTTCGAGATCAGGAGCAGCCTAAACAACTAATTAAAAAGTATATAGATACTAGTTTCGACCATTTCCTCCACGTACATGATGACGAAAAACTTGAGTTAAGTTAACGCCAAGAAGCTAGAATGATCATTACTTTGGTTTAGGTTAATCAAACGTAATAAAAAATAGAAAAATTTAATAATAACATACCTTCTCGCCCTTGGATTTCTATATTCGTTACCACTGATTGTACAAATGCAAATAATAAAATGTATTTCATCTGTAAATTCCATGAATGTCACCATTTAAGTTTAGACTGCTTAAGCGAGTATGCATGCGCGATAATAATGTAAAAAAACGAAAACACACAAAACCTTGCAATCATAAAATTCGATCGTTCAAACAAAACGGTTACTGTGTTTGCTGAATGTTAGTTAATACTGTTGAACACAATAATGCAATACTTCTTCTCACTTTCAGTACTTAATAAAAAATCGATCAGTCAATTAGGCAGTGACATTTTTTTTACTAGCAATGCTTGTTTGTTCACCAGTCTGTCTGTTTTTGCTCATCGTAACATCATATATAACTTGACATGGAGTGATATAATTTATGTGTTCTGAGATATTTAGCATGTTTGAAAAGTTTAAATTTTCATCATGTTGGAATTCGTATTTAAACTTTTAAATATTAGTACTTGCGCCCATACAACTTGTAACACATGCAATTCTGGCCTGACGATATCAGGGCATGATTCTGTTGTGCTAAAGCTAGCTGTCACGACATCGGCGTGACTGAGCAACGTGCAAAGTTCTTCTTAGTAGTCAGGGGACTAACGAAAGAGTTCAGTAGTTGTTTTACTCGTAGTACGTTAACTATTAATGTTTCCGAATCTAACAAATCTTTGAAAAGCCTGTCCTTCAACGTGGATATATAACTGATCGACAATGATTAGCAATTGCACATTATCGGATAGCAATACGGGTCGTCAACAAAAATGTTGCTATGTATTATGGTGTTCTTATATAACTCTATCTAAACCTTTTAGAAAAGTGCAAGCGGTTCTCATTCCATTTCAAAACAAGACTGCACTCGCAGATCTGATTCTATTTATCATCAGAACCTCTGGCATCGAAGTTCGTTTTGTCAAAGAAAATTTTCAGCCGACAGACCTCTCACTTGTTCTCTTCACAGTCAACTTGTTCTCAAATCGACAGAAACTCTTTCAAGAGGTTTATCGCGAAGTTCCTTTTCTAGACCACGTGGAATAAATGATCCTGTAGGGCCAGCAAAATGTCCCTAGCCAAATCATACGGCAGTTGAGTCACTGGATAACGAGCAAATCATCGATCCTCGTCAAGGTCAGGGACGACCAACTCGCATCAGTTATTCGTATGCCATGGACTGGCCCATGCGGCAGCGGTCTTACTTTCGCTTGTATCTACTATAACTAATATATTTCTGTAATAACGTCCTCTGTACTGTACAGTCTCCAAAGCATCTATGGTAACTTGATACGTCGATCGTGCAGTCCACGTAAAGCGCTGACCGCGAGGTGTGACTTCGACGTTGGCTAGTTTGTTACACCATTCACGTCTAACTCGAGTAGGCCTGCAATCATTCCGAAATAGATCATCTACGTTGGTGACCTACAACCGTATTTGATGTTCATACCAAAACACGAATTTCGGTAAACTCAGCTTAGGCCCAGACTCAACAGAGCTTTAAAGGGACTCCCTCGTCAGTAGGCATTCTATTCAAGTTTGGTCTGTGAATATGGCCTTCTGTTATACATTAATGATACGAGGACTAAGGTTAGCAGTTTCTTCGACAGAAAGGTTGGAGTCATCCCTGAGGAAACAAATGTTTGTCCACAAAACCTGGTCTGCAGTTTACAGGTGATCAATCCATCAGAATCATCCGTTTTCAAACCTGACGATGTCTAGCAACGCATTCAAATCATAGTCATCTCTCATTCATCTCAACAGAATGAACGGGGTGCAGAGGAAAGCTTCCTGAGTATATTGTAGAATACCCAGAAACCTTATATTCGTGCATGAAGCATTAAATAGACATTAGGCTACATCATGAGTAGGACTACATCAGCAGTGGAGACGGACTACGACAAAACACAGATATTCTCACACTTTTTTAGTAATATGCGATATTCAGAGATATCTTAGCCTCTGATATAAATAAATCTAGTCATTTACCCTGTAGTGGCATTGGACCATAACCAGTAAATTGGGGTTGATCGAATGGCATGGCTCGGCCATGCAGGTGAGCCGGACTAAAGAAACGCAACCTATTATTGTTAACCCGTATTTCCACCTTAACCTTCTCAATCGATTTTTATTTGTGTAAACCCATTATTCTAATAGTCCTCTGATTAATCCTTACATGTATTATCGTAATGCTATATTGATTAGTTCCCATCAAATACCAGCTCAATCGATAGTAGAAACGCGGATAAATATCTACCTATGGAGAAGGCCGGAATAATGTATTTTATGAATTGGAGTTGATCCGATGGCATGGCTCAGTCACCCAGGCGTGGTCCCTGTGGAATATCACCTTATATCTTTTATTCATAATAAATATATTGTTCTTTCTCTAGCCTAAGCTTGTTCTACACCATGTATTAGTAGTCGTTACAATACAGTGAGTTGGTGTAGACGATGATGTGACTTCCATGTACGATCTTATAGATTAGGTAGTTATATCATGACAAATCTACAATTTTTGGATTAGGTCTATTATTAGAGCAGTACTAATATCATAGTAAACCATAATTCTACAACCTTTTGGGTATTGCGACCACTTAGGAGCTAGGTCTCCGCTATCTAATTACCAAATTTGGTAAAGGAAAACTAAAAGACCCTGTAAAATACATCCAAAATGATTAAAAGCGAAAACAAATGTCATCCGAATTCTGTAACGCAAACGTCTTTACGTATGAACGGTTCAAAAGGTTGTGGACAGAACAGGCTTCCGTGTCTAGCAGCAGGTGATAGCAATACCTCCAGGCAGGAACCTAGGTATAAAAACTATAATAGATTAGAAAAAACAAAATTGGTAACTCATATTAAGGTGTTTTCCGTAGTCCTTAAGAATAGTCAAGTTTCCTCTTAAAGAAACCCTGAGAAGCCGTTTGAACTAGTTCGGTCGGCAGCAAATTCCAGCACTCTTAGGGAGGGGAATTTGTGTCTACAGCCCATTCTGCTATGTTGTATCTCCAATTTATTGGTGTTACCTATTAGGTTTGTATCCGGACTTAGCTTAAGTAGGTGCTTAAGGGGATGGTTAGAAGTGTTAAGGATACTGTAAGCCATCACAAGATCACCACAAAGACGCCTATCTTCTAATGGGTAAGAGTCAAGTGATTGGGGGCGCTCTTCATAAGGTTTGAATTTAAGTCCCCGAACTGATTTCGTGGCTCGTCGGTGGATATGCTCCATGTTTGTGACATGAGCTAGTCTACCAGGTGACTTGAAGAACAACATAGTAGGTTCTGTTCACCAAACAAATGGGGAGAGAATATAATAACTACCTTCCTATGAATTTAACTACCGTATTTGTTAAAATCACAGATAATATTATTTGCCAGGAGTTCTTTAAGTATCAAGGTGAGAACTTGTTTTCTTCTGAAATGTAGAATGTGTTTAGTATGAGATAATCATGTATCACGAACTTACTAGTTACATGAAAAAGTTATTGCATTTCGAAACATCAGAAGCTATCTGCGGATTCAGGCTCGATTGACTTTAGTCTCATATGAAGTCTCACACAACACACAGTTATACAAGTTAAGAAGCATAGGGATTGGCAGGTGACGTACATATATGGATGAATAATTATCAAAGAATTTTGGTCAACTTCAAGTCGTTTAATAGTAAGATCGTGCTCAGTGAAGTACACAGGCCGTTGACCTAAGATTCATTGTCAGTCATGCCTTGAACCATCTGTACACCGCTGCAGAATGGCTTTCTAAACTTATAAAACTCTGAAGTGAACTAATAGGGCCTATGAAAAAGTAGATGTCCAGGACTATTGGGTTTCATCACAATTGATTGATCACTGGGTGGTGATCAATCTCATGCTTGTCTAGTCCTTATTAGTGCAGATCGAATGCTATCGATCATGTTGCAATGTGGCCACCAGTCTAGGTGGCTCGACACTGCGGGCACTAGGTATTGAGATTTAGATGGTGGTTGGAGGTAGTCAACAGGAAACCCTGGACCCGGGTTTCGTGCTGCTTGGCACTCGTCAGAAAGGTGTACCTGTAATCTTGAGGGAACTGGTGCTCCCTGGTGGATTCGATCTCGTGTCACACAGCTTCACAGTCAGAGACGTTACCACTGACTAGACAAGCATGACATTGATCACCAACCAGTGATCAATCAATTGTGATTAGATCTCAGTCATACAGGAGGTTAGTCACGGCTCGGATAGCTCAGTGGTAACGTCTCTGACTGTGTAGCTGGGTGACACGAGATCGAATCCGCCAGGGAGCACCAGTTCCCTTAAGATTACAGGTACACCTTGCTGACGAGTGCCAAGCAGCACGAAACCCGGGTCCAGGGTTTCCTGTTGACTACCTCCAACCACCATCTAAAACTTTTGCACTTCTTCTACTGTGTTCGTTGATACTAAAAATGAGTATTACATTTGAACATACAGACCCTACATAAAAAAGCCAGTGAAGTGTTGGAAGAGATTCAAACAATCATAAATAGTTTGATTTTAGGAATCGCAAATCTATCGAAAGATCAAGGACTAGTTAAACTAAACCTATCTCCCGGTCATACAGAAGAACTTGCGACGGCAACCAAATCCCTATAATCAACAGCTTTGTAAATCTTCGACATTTTATGATGACATGATTAGTTTTTTTGAACTCATCCAGCTGCAGGCTCTCAGTCGTGCGTCCGCATTAGACTACCAGTGAGTACGCTGTGCTTCACTACTCTTACAACCGCTAGCCAGCTTATATTAGTCGCTTCTCGATATATTGATATTCTATCAAATGTATCTTCGAGCCCCTGCGTTTCTGACTACTGAATTCACTAAGTTGGCATGTTTCGGTGTTGCCAGTGTTGTCAAACTCAGAATACGTGTTGCATCTTTAGACCAGAAGTGACCTAACTGGTCTCTAAATTGTTTATTGGTATTTTCGCACATGAAATGCCGTAATTTTGCATGTCCCTCAAGACATAAAATGTACTATTTCACTTCAAAAAGTCTTAAATCTCGAAAGCGAATCACTCATCATTGAGTCGT